GCTACGAGATCGACACCGGACCTCACGCTGCGACCGCGAGACGCCGATGAGAGGGAGGAAAGATTAAACGAGCAGGTGAGGAGAGGAGGAGGAGAATGGGAAGGAAACATGAGGCAAAGCTGGAAATGGACATCCGCAGAAGATAAAGGAGTCAATTATATTGACAAAAGTTGGGTAAAGTTCAGTAGAAACTCAAGGAAAACAGTCAAAACACTGCAAAAACACAAAATCTTACCAAGTATTTCTCGTCTTTTTACTGCAAATACCTTAGTTGTTAATTACATGATACATTAAAATAAGCTCAATAATTTCAATTTGCATGCTTTATTGCTTTTATCTCTTTCTACCAAAAACTGGATGATAAAAGTCGTCAGTCTGGTGCTTTGGTCTCCAACTAAACATTTTTTTTAAAAGGACAATTTTATTTACTTTACTGAGACTTCAAAATGTATTTAATTTGTTTATTCTCAGCAAATGCAGGTTTATTTTGGATATTTAAAAAATGTCTTCCAGTTGCAGTTTTAAAAGTTCATTAGAATTTAAAGTTCATTGGTCTTTGAAAATTATTATCCCATTAACATTATATTACTTGAAAATGGTTTCAAAACAACAATGTCATCATTTATCACAATAATTTACGGAGCAATTTATCATCTGGCAAAATTTATCATGACAGGCCAAAAGTTAGTGGACTTGAAATAAGAATACCAACTTATAAAAAACTTTACAGTAAATATAGCAGTTTAAGTAAATAATGCCTTAATATTGATGAAAACGTTCCAGTTCCACTGGCGCTGTTACCTAGCAATGCCAGCCAAGCCCAGCCCGTTACCTAGCAACGCCAGCCAAGCCCAGCCCGTTACCTGGCAACCCAGTTCTAGTTCCACCGGCAGATTATCTCACTTATAACATGGGAAAACATCATGTTATGTGCCAGTGGAACTGGAACTTTTTCATTAATATTATGAATGTATAGACTTAAAACAAGCTGATATCCTGTTGAAAAGTTACTTGTAAGTTAATAGACTTCAAGACAAAACTGCAATATCTGAACTAGAAACCAGATCAAAAATACTTGGTAGGTTTTTGTGTTTTTGCAGTGAAGAAGTGGCAAAAAAAACCTTGATGAAGCATTTATGTACCGTAATCTACTTCACATTGCTGTTTGTTTGCTAATGTTGGACAAATCTTCACAAAATTACATTTATATCAAATTTAAATTACACACAAGTGGATTTATTTAGAAAGATGTATCAGAATAAACAAGGCTACATAATTATGTTTTATGGGATTTCTTCACATAAAAACGCATTGAAAAATCTGGCACTTAAAGTCTTCCGTAATACTCTCATACAGAAATATGAAGGTATTTCACATCTGTTACCTGTGAAGAAAGCATTTATGTTAAGATAGGAAAGAGGAGGGAAAAGAAAGTGGAAGCAGGAAGTAAAACCGGAGCTTGTCCTTCAGAAGTCCCGTTGTGACAAAATGAAAATTAAGAAAATGAAAAGATGGGAGGATGATAGTGGGAATGAACGGAGAGAAACGGGAAAGATTAGAGGGATGAGTTGAGTTTCTGAGTGTGTAAGCATGCGATAAGCAGCAGCTATCCAGCTGGATCTGCCTGAAGACAGATACTGATAAGAGTTAATCTGCTCTGATGATAAATAAACCCAAACAGTCTTTAAAAGGGACACTTCACTGTTACTGAGTCGCATTTCCTCTTTGTTTGACTTCCAAATGTAAAAACCAGCAGCTTTTTATTGACTTTAATTTGAGGAGATCAAGAAAACTCTGGAAAACGTGAAAAGTCTGAATTGTTTGAATAACCAAATTATTATTTATTTGGGTGCAACTGCTACTAACAATCATGAATAGAAAATATTTACAGGTTTACTTTTAAATTAAATCCAAAATGTTGATATTTTTGGAACAGTTTTGAATCGTTTTTCAGAAAATGGCCTTTTTTGAGTCTGTTAACGATTAATGGTTTGTTAAATTAGTGGACGATTATTTCAATAATAGATTAATCATGATTAATCATTTCAGCCCTACAATTACATTCAGCTATTTTAAAGGTTTAGTATGAATCCATTTGGAGCTCAAACAGGTAGATTCAGACATCCTGAACATGACTGAGTGTTAAAGAAAATCGAGATTTTAGACGGATATGTTGATCCAACTCTATTTAAAATGATCACACAAAATGTCCAAAACCTAAAACAAATATAAATATGCTTAAGTAATAATAAAAAGAGTCAGTTGTTCACCTGTGTGCATCACCTGCAGAAAGTGGAGTCTACTGGTGCTTAAACATTACGCAGCAAAAGTCCAAAGGCCAAGAATAGCTGCAAGGTTTAAATGCAATATCACATTTTCATAATGAGAGCCAATGAGCCGTAAATCCCTGCTGACACAGTTATGGAGTGAGATGAGCTTATGGCAGCGATACTGAAACTATTAAACACTCCCCACTTCTGGCACTGTGTGTGTGTAACACAGCGTGCGCGTGTGTGTGTGTGTGTGTGTGTGTGTGTGTGATTTTAGACTTATATTATGTATAAATGAACATTTATCAACAGGAAAGAATGTGGTAAAGTCCAATTGTTTATATTTCTTAGTTCACAACTAACTTTATTACCAAGCATGTGGGTGAGTGTTTGAGTCTATGGATGTAACACTTCCACCAGAAAATGGCTTTATCCAACTATATATCTTTGAAAAGCAGCAGTGGAACCTCCTGCACAACCAACAAGAATGCAGCAAGTGGTTTCTGGATGGTCAGTCAACAACAAAGCATTTGTCTTTTCCAGCAGCCATTGTACAGCACATATAGTATAAAAACCAGTTGACCAACCCAATTGAGTTGCTAGGTGACGGGCTCAGATTGGCTGGGGTTGCTAGGTAACGCCGCAGTACTTGTACATTTTGACTCGACAATTGTAAGTTTTTAAAACGGCTCATTTTCCAGACACCATAAGAAAAACTGAATGGGTATTTTTAAGCACTTGGAAATGTTTAAAGAAGCAGAAAAGACACCAATGGAAGCAGGAAATTTAATGTAAATTTTAAAAAATTTTGATCCGATTGGCCAGTGAATGGACCTTCTAAATGTCTTTATACAACAAATAAACTCTGCACTGCTTTCCTCTGGAAACCTTTTCTGAATTATTCAGTCACTTATTATATGTAAAATATTTCACATTAAAGCATTTAACATTTGTAAAAGCCATATTAAAAAGGGTAAAACGTGCAAGAGGGTGAATGTCAGCACCATAGCCATATTTAGAGCTCATATTTTAGCCAGGATTTAAATATATATTTTTAACAGATACAAAAAATGCGGTTTTTGAAAGGATGAGTTTCCAGAAGTATATGAATCATATTATAATCTTGTTTGTTTTACAATGGGGAAACATTGTTGGGTAAATATAAATGCAATTAAAATTGCAACAAACAAGTTGTTTAAATTTTAAATCCTGAACATTATTTTCCATTGGGAAATCTAAATTATAGATAGTAATGTCTTTCATATAAAAGCTTTTCAAATTAAAATTAAAACTTTTTCCAGCTTCTGTTTCTGTCTCCCTTTTGAGCTTTTGAGTAAGAGGGAGAGAAAAAAAATGAAGCCTAAAAACTGTTGGGATGTTAATTTGCTGGGCTGTCAGATGGAGTCAGAAGTCAATCTTTTTAAATGCGGGTGGATTTTTTCTTTCCCTAAATCTAATTTGAGTGATTCTTGATTCCACATAGTTATGCGTATAAGCCGAGTTTTTATTCCCCCCATCAGGTTAACGATCGCTGACAGAGCAAACTGGGGCAGGTTGGAGAGCATAAAGTGCAGATTTTCTCCTCTTTTTCTGCAGATAATGAATTTTTTTAGCATGTCATCATTTCACACACACACAAGCTCATTCTGGAATATTTTGCTTGGATCTGGATTCTTTATTGGCGGCTGGTTGACATCAGAGACTCATTAAAATTTGACATCACCTCACTCCTGCTTGTTATGTGCTGAAAAGAACGGAGCCTTTTTTACTTCAAATCGTTACGCCGTCCACGTTTGTTGGAGATTAGATCGAACTCGGCAACATTAACACCTTAACAAGAGTTGTCATCGTTGTTTTGTCTCCACTTCACAGCATCACATAAAACAACTCTCACATTAATCACAGCAGCCGATCCGTCAGATCCTCAGCTTTGATCGGCTCCCCAGAGATCAAAAGGAAACAAGTGCTCTTTCTGGTTCCTACAACAGTTTTAAAGAAGAAAGGAAACCCGCTCCGCAGACTGTCGGAGGGGTAACAGTGCAAAGAAAGCCTGATTTGGTAAGAAACAATCTGGAATATTTGCTGTATAGTAAATTTAAAAAATATCAGTAAGTGGGACCAAGTCAGTGTTTTGAAAGTTACAAGTATCAAATATTTTGACTAAATCCAAGTCCCAAACCAAGTACAAACATTAAATGTTAAGCTGGTTTTTTTTAAATAAATTACCCCCCAAGCCTTTATGTGGTTTTCTTCAGAAAATGTGTTTAGAAAAAATATCAATTTATGTAGCAAATTCTGCAGAATAACGTTCCATCAAAAGATGAAATTATTTCAAGGCTTTAAACATGATTCAGTCAATATGATTCGATTTTTAAAAACTATTTTTGCATGTTTTTTTTACTTCCATTTGGGTCTCAACAGTTTCTAAAAACAGACTTTCAAAAAAGAAAATAAGTTCATATTTTTTGGTGTCTGGAAAACAGGTTGCTCAGTCATATTCGACAGGCACTGCGCCGTTACCTAGCAACCCCGGCTGAGCTGAGCCCTGTTACTTGGCAACCCCGGCTGAGCTCAGCCCCGTTACCTAGCAACCCAAGTAGAACTCCAGCTTGTTTGTTCATGTGATTTTATCGCTGTACGTATAAATTATTCTGTTGTTGACTTACCATCCAGAAACGACTTGCTGTGTCGTTGTTGGTTGTGCAGGAGGCTCTACTAATGCTTTTCTGCATATGTTTGCAGCCATTTTCACTTGTTAGCGTAAACGTTGAGTTTGGGGGTCCGGGGCCAGCAGCAGCTTATTTGGATTTAAAGTGACAGATGCCCTAAAACAGCTCAAACCAGACCTGAAGTCTGATTATGTAAGAATGATTTTCTGTAAAAATGTAATGATCATGTTTTGTTTCTGACCTGTCTGATCAGTGAAGCATAAAAGGTCACCCTTAACGTCCGGCTCCAGAGTTTTGGTTGGATTTGCCTTACAATCACAGCTGGTCTCATACCTTCCAATCATCACTGCAGGTTTATTGATGGCATCTTTAGGCTTGAAGGGATTGTGCTGCGGTGCCCAGAAGATCATATTTGTTTCCACCAGCCTGATTGAGTTCTCACACCAGAGTGTCAAGACAACATTCGTCACACTTTACGGCTCCAGCAGCAGCAGCCTGGACTGTTTACACAAAGCAATTTGGCTTCATGGATTCCTGTTGTTTGTGCCAAATTCTGGCCCACCATCTGCCGCTTCAGATGAAATCAAGATTTATCAGACCAGGCTAGATATTCCAGGCTTCCTCAAAGTTTCACAGAGCCTGCGTGATACCGGTCCTTACTGCTGCTTTTAATTAACATTTATCTAATTAGAGCTGGACTGAGGAAAGATCTGTATATTAAGGGGTTTTTTGCTATTTGGTTCTATACGGAACAACACCTTTGTCAAAACTAAAAAGAAGTACTATGTAAAAATAAACTTTTTTGATATTTACATTATTTTATGATGTTATTCCCTCAGTAAAAACCAAGATGGTGGAGGGAGGCTGCAGGTGTTGAATATGTAGATGTGCATATTTGTATATAACCAAACATTAGTTTCTGAACTCTTCCTGAGTTAAAACATTAGTATTGTTGAGTCTAAATGAATTTCAACTTGTTCTCTTTGCATTATTTGAGCTCTGAAAGCTCTGCATCTTGTTTATTTGACCATTTCTCATTTTCTGCAAATAAATACTACATTTTTGCTTGTAATTTCAGAGAGATGTCAGTAGTTCACAGAATAATAGAACAATGGTAATTTTAATCAAACATTTACATATAAAGAATAAAATCTGAAAAACTGATCAGTTTAAGTGGTCTCTTAATTTTTTAAGAGTCCATATATACACATTAGATTTCAATTGGTCTCTGTAGGTTATTTTTTTTTTTTTTTTTTTTTATTATAATTATTTTCATTTTATTTTTTTCCTCCTTTGGTTTTTTCTGTTTTTCTTTGTTTTTTGGAATGGGCATGTCACATTATTGTTCTTTGTCAAGTCTGTCCCGTTGAAAAGCAATAAAAAAAAATTTAGCTAAAAAAAACAAACCTTGATTCTTTCATGCAAGTTTGAAAAATCCTGTAATTTGCCAATGTGCGAAGCGTCTGGAAGGCGGAGCTAAGCCCACCCAATGTGCGAATTTGTCAATGTGCGAAACGCCTGGGTGGGCTTAGCTCCGCCTTCCAGACGCAGCTCCTCCTTGCAGCTGAAGTTTCCACCTCGCAGGCGGCGCTAAATCCACAAGACGTTTTGCTCAGCAGAATGGTTGCCATGGAGACCAAGGGATTTCTCAAACATGCATAAAATAATGAAGGCCACATCCCTCATCCAGGGGGTCGCAAATGGCCCCCAGGCCACACTTTGGACATCCCGGTCTTAGACGGCAACATTTTGTTTATCAATCCACAAAAGAGAAACAATTCTCTATCGTTCTCCTTCCACACGAGACCAAAGCAGGACTGATTTCTAGAATGCATCTTTCAAAGCATCAGTTCAACAGCTCCTCTTCTGCTCCGCAAACGTTTTCACTCCACACTAACCGGGTAAGAACGTCTGCACACCGCTGCAGAGAAATGAGAAGTGAAAAGAAATTCAGCTCCTGTCTCTTCGAATCTCTTTACAAACAAAAAGGGGCGAAGCGAAGCGAAGCGAAGCGAAGCGAAGCGAAGCACGCTTCAGTGAGACGGCTGGGAAAATGACGCGCTTCCTTCAGACAACGCCGTGTTGTTTCTGACACGGAGCGTTTTGAATGTTTAATAATAAAAGGTCAATGTTTTTTTTTTTTTATTATTTCATAATAATAAAACTTGTGAACGTGAAATTTTAAATCTGCCTCCGTAACTCATATTTTTTATTTTACCACTGGAGTTGGAAATAACAGAAAGTCCTTCATCTAATTGCCAAAATTACATTTTCATGAATTATTTTACACATTTCAAGATTAATCAAGTAAAACTGACGTGTTTAATGTTCATTTTACCTTTTGTCCTCCTGCTGATATGTTGTCAAGAATACAAACTAATAATTTGAAAGATCAACACATTCTGGCACAACCGGCCCTTTAAGAGCATTCATGATCTTGATTTGGCCCAAAATGAAAATGAGTTTGACTCCCTGATGTAAACGGTTTAAACTGCAAATGTTGGCAACAAATTCAATGCAGATCACCGTCCACTGCATCGACGCTTCCATTTCTTACTGCCATTTTCAGAGCTGTGACTGAAAAGTTGATCTAATCAATGCAACAAATGGACGAACTCAGCGTGCTGGAGTGAGATCCTCCCTGCGACCGCTTGGCCTTCGCTACATTAACTTCTTTTTCCCATAAACGGTGACATAGAGTCAGCTAAAATAAATGCCAAGGCCTCGTCTCACTAAATGCCAATCTATCTTTAGGTTTCACGCAGCAAGGAGAACCATTAGCCTCCATTCATCTGCTGATTGGCCGCGGTGCCGGAGTCCAGCTGATCAATAGAGCTTCCTTTTACCCTCCAGCAGCCTTGGAGGAAACCTTCAGCGTATTGATAAGTCCAGCTCCGCTTTGCTCAAATGCTAAAAGTCCAGGGCAAAGTTTGAGGAAACAGATTTTACAGAATCTACCTTCAGTGGGTAAGCATGAGGCCACAGTGGAGAGAAATTTACACGTGTTTACTGGAAGGAACCTCCAGCAGAGCTGAGATCAGCATGAACCAGTTTTATAGCAGAGAACCTGCCGAGAAGCCATTTCAAACTGGGGCTTTTAAAACAAATAGAAAACAAGTAGAAAATAATATTTAAGGACAGAAAACTTTGTCAATATTCTGCTAATGTCGAAAAACAAATTTTCGTTGAAGTGTCTCTATTAAGTAAGAAACAGTTAAAAATCATATGTGAACAACTTAAAAACATGAAATAAAACATTAAATCATCCTCCAATCACTTCACGTCTTCTTCTTCTTCCTCTTGTTTTGCGCCAGTTGTTGACCATGTGAAAAAAGTGTTTTTATCAAAGTTTTACAAAATAACAATTGATGAATTGTTGCATTGTTTGGGACTTTTTTGCTGGATTTCCCTCTTTTCCCAAAAAAGGAGGTTTTATGTTTTTTTATTGCTGCCCAGAACTGTTTGTACACAGACTGCTACAGATTATTATTTTGTTGTCAACTGCAATTATTGGACAAACAAAGGAGTTAAAAGTAACCAAACTCCAGTGAAAAACGAGCAAACACTCAGAAACTTCAGCATATTTTACTCAAGTTAGAGTAAAAAAGTAGCTGTCCAAGAAATTACTCAAGAGTACAAAAGTATTTGGTAAAAAAGGTAAGAACTGATCAAAACAGCTTTGTCCCTTAGTGGGACAGGGAGAACATGCAAACTCCATGCAGAAAGGCCGGGCCGGGAATCGAACCCAGAACCTTCTTGCTGCAAGGCAACAGCTCTACCAACTGCGCCACTGTGCAGCCCTGATCAAAAAATAATTTAATATTTAAAAATCATCAGGCAGACAAAAACATGAAGTTATGTGGAACTTTTGGTAACTTAAGGACCAAAACGAAAATAAAAATTCATGTGCAGAATCAGGCAAAAGAAAGCTGTTGAATATAAAACTAGAAACAACAGGAAGTTTGTTTCTGGTGGGTTTTTTTTTTTTTTTTGTTAAAATAATTTTGCTCTTCATTCAGTGAAGTTACTCACAGTGGGGATCTAGACATTTCACTGAGGAGGAGCAATACATCATCATAAAATTACTCAAATAAAAAGTAATTATAAAAGTACATAAAAAAGTTACTCAAGTAAATGCAACTAACTATGAAACTCAGAAGGAATATTATTATATTATTATGTTTTTCCTCAAGTCTCTTTTCCAGAACAGGCAGGTTCAGTTTGATTTTTTCATTTTGTTTTGCAGTGGCACACAAAGTTTCCCCAAAGTCCAGATTCTGTCTTGTTCCCACTTCCTGGCAAAATGTTATTATTCATCCCAGTGCTGCTCATCATCACTTCCATCAAAGATGCACTCAAGCAGCAAAGCAGAAGAAGAAAAAATGAAACTTTTCCTGTGTTTGGTTTGAGTCGGGACTGGAGAGGCGGAGGATTCAGATAACGGAGAGAACTGTGGTGGAAAAGAAAGAGGGCAATAAAGGTGAGAGGAGGACGACGGAGAGAGTGAAAGGAAAGCGGGAGCGACTTCTGATTTGGTTTAGCAGAAAAAGAAATAACTTCAGTTGCTTTTCATCAGCGGCGGCGGCGGCCCGCATGACCAGCGCTGACATTTACGTTAACGCAGCCAGGCACTTTTCTCCCGTCATACATATTGGATCCTGCAGCTGCCAAACATTCGCAGATGTGACAACAGCTGTGCTTGTTTTTATGCATCAAATTAAACCCACCGAACAGAGCGAGTGCGTTATAACTAATTCATTTAGCATCTACACTCGCTTTTTATGAAACAATTAGTGATGGAGGCACTTTTGCTGAATAATGGAGTGGCGTGTGATCACTGGGTGTGAAATGTCTGTCCATCATCATTTTTCAAACATTAGAAACTACTACTACTTTTATACCTGCTCCATGTTTTACAGACGTCAGTGCAAAGCATGTCTTATTAACGTTTCTGTATTCAGCATTTGGTATTATTCTTTCTTTAATTTGTAACTTAGTCAAATTTGGACCTTAAAGATTTATTCTGATATTTACAATATTTGTTTTTATCCACAAAAAAAAACCAAGGATGTACGACAGCGATTAAACGGTTTTCCAAGAACAATAAGTCGTTTCTCTGCCATTAGCATGTTTTTTATGTATATTTTTAAAGATATTTTTTGAGGGGGTTTTTTTAGCAAATTTGCAACTTTCCAAACTGAGAAGGTTTTGTTTTTTTTCTAGAAAATTTCTGAGATTAGTCTAAAAATTTCTTTCTTTCTTTTTCTTCAAATTTGCAACTTTCCAAGCTCAGAAATTTCAGAGTTTTTTTCTAGGAAATTTTTGACACTAATCTCAATATTTCTAATTTTTCCAGCAAATGTTTCAGTTTTTTTTTGTTTTTGTTTTTTTTTCCATTTCTGAGATTTTCTACAAAATTTCTGAGACTAATCTTAAAACTTTTGATTTTTTTCAAGCTAATTTGAAAAAAATCTTCTTATATTTCTGGGCAATATTTTTTTTCCCTCCATCTCGAATGGCTCTAATATGTCGTCAGAGATACGATCAATTTACTCCATTTTAAAGTATTATGCACCAGCATACTTTGGTTTGCAGTATTTAAGGCCACGTTTGCATTTGTAAATACTGTAAAAGAAACTAGAATTACTTTAAATAGGAGTAAGGAAGCTAATCTCCATTTTTACTACGAGTATCAACATGAAAGTCGTGCGAGTGATTTGAATAAAACATTCTTCTGCTGCTTCCCGAGTCGAGTTCACAGGCTGGGATATTAAACTGTCTTTGGAGGAACAGTTCTGCACGGCAAAGCTCTAATTGGCTAAGCCGACTGTTATCTACGTACAGTTAAACAGCTTGAATCCGAGCCAGCGCAGCTCAGAGGGAGGCCAGATCCATATCTATCCCCTTCATTCACAGCTTAATTCAATTGGAGGGCAATTATCGACCGCCCCGAGGCTCCAAGATCCCCGTCGGTTTCAGTTCTCATCAGGGAGCTTCGCTGTGCAGGATCCCCTGGCGCAGCCCCCCGAAAGCCGAGGCTGATGTTTGTGTCGAAGACCGGCGTGTAAAACAGAAAGCAAACAAGCGGGAAGGATCCGTCTGCAGCAACCCGGCGATTCAAAGAGAGCGCAGCAGAGTTTGTTTTGCAGAAAGAAAAAAGTCCAACATGTTTGTCTCATGCAAATATTCTGAGCGGGATGTTTTCGTTTACGGTGCGCCCCGTGACAGAACGTGGACTAAAATGTTTCTAAAAACGGATAAATACCAACCCAGAGCACTGTAAAACAGAGAACTAACAGAAATATTACAGGTTTTGTTATTTATTTGAACACAAATAGATTTTTTAAGATAATCTTGATTCTACTTATTTTACATTAAGAGTGTTTAAATGTTTTGCTTTCACATGTTATGAGGGGAAGTAGCAGTTTTTCTGTCGCCAGTGATGGACTCCATTAACTTATTCATTCTGACTCCTCACAGTCACTGGATTTCCGTCTGAACGTGTGTGAGAAATGGGATTACAAATATTTACAGAGAAACAAAGCAAACACTCACACCTAAAAACTAAAACGCAAATAAACTTTTTTTGAGCCAACTCAGCCATTATTTTCCCTTTGTTTCTGAACGGACAGTAAAAGCTTGTTTTGCATTTTGGTCACTTCTGATACCGATATCTGATATCTGAGGTTTAGTATCGACCGATCCGATACTGAAAAACAGCTGAATTAAAACATTTCTGTTCTTAAAACACAGACTAGGGCTCCTGTAAACAATTGTTTTAGTAATTGAGTATTCTGTTGATTATTTTTACGATTATTCCAGTAATCGGATAAAACATTTTATAAAGTAAAATATTGTTAAATTCTACGACAACAGGAGTATTAATACCGGATATCGACATCGGCCCAATTTTTCATGTTTGAGCTTCTCTAAATTTTACTTCTCTGTAGTTTAGAAAATTTACCTGTAACAATAACAGCTTACCTTTTAAGTTAACCTCATATAAAAATATTAAATTATATTCAATTTAATAATAAAGCAGGAAGCTCACAACAACACTTGTCTATAAAAAAAATGTCTATAAATCAGTTTTTAGTTTAGTTTCATCTTCGGTCATAGATGAACTCTCACCATGTTCCTCCACAACGCGCCCGGCTAAAAACGTCCCGTATTCTCAAACCCAAAACTTGACAGGTGAGCTCCGTACTCCAGGCATCACGCCAGAAAAATGAAGGATGATCCCCCGAAAAGCGACAAAAACCTGGACATTATCATCAATAAGTAAAATCCCCCAGACCGAACTTAAAAATTGGACAGTATTGGCAGCACTTAGCAACAACTCATAGGCGGAAGTGAGAGCGCTGCGCAACATCAATAATCACCCAGCCGGAACACGATGCGCTAAATAATAAAATATAATTTACTCGAATCATTCGCTATTACAAATTACAAATGTATTTGGTAACTCTGCACCAATGCAGCACATTTAAATATCTCAATAGCTTCACACAGTTTTAATTTGTTCAGTTAGGAGAATAACAGCCAATGTAAAATAAATAATAAAGAAAGTGAAACTAGGTTAACTACCTGAAGACATGCAAAAAAATAAACTGCAACAAACCATATGGCTCAGAAAGTGCAATAAGGAATTCTAAATATAAAGTAAAATAAATAATAAAGCATGATGTCACTCAGAGCACAAAATATAGAACTAGACTGAATAGATCTGCTCTTAAGGATCAGAAACATTGTTTTTAAATGTCAGAACTGATAGAGATGATATCAGATGCACCTCCAGTTTTTCAGCAACTTCTCTCTCACACAGTGTGACGTCACCCCTGATCCCAGTTTGTAAATCTAACTGCACAGCAGGAAGGTTAGAAACTATACTTTAATGTTTTAATTATTAATTCACAATTAGATCAAATTAGGAATTGAGATTTGAAATAAAATAAAAACTTTGGTTGGTCCATATCTAGTTCAGACAGAAATGAGCTACAGGTTGAAACTGATGGTATTTAATATTAGACTGAAGACAAATAATTAATAGACTGCTTAATTCATAGTGCAGCCTCTTAAGCACTTTTCTATCCATTCATCTTTTATTATCTTGTTTTATTCAGCAGATAGTAGACAATGAATCATTAATGCTCCTATAATGTGATGTTTTAAAGCAAGAATTTCCACATTTATATTTTTTCTCCAGTACATAAATTGTTTTGTTGGTCATTAAAATCCTTTTTCATGCACTAAAAGAACAACATAATGTCTGTTTATGCAGCTGATTTAATGTCCAGATGGAATAAGTTTATCAAACATCATCCTGACGTTTTTCTTGTTTCTTCTTCTTCTGAAATCGTTGTTTAGGAGAGTTTAGCCTCCTCTGCAGAGACGCTGCTGCTCAGCATGTTGAGGAAGTCATTGTTCAGAGACAAAACGTAACTGTGTAGCTGCGATTACCGTCACTGCACTTCCCAGAACACACTGCAGTCCATTAGCAGCGGGACACGCAGATTTTTCATTTTGCTGTGTTGGCTTCGTACGGCAACACATTAAGTTAGAAATAAACGGTGCCTACAGACCAACTGCTGACACCATGTATGCAGACAGGGACAAATAAGACAGAAGTGGAGTTGGAGCCCCGTCCTGCATCACCACGAGTCACGCGGCGAAGACGAGCCGCACAGAAAGTTTCTGCTGCAGAACCAGGTGCAAAGTTTGATACAAACAGCATTTTACCCATCTGGTATTAAAACCTCATCAAACAAAAACTGGGAAAGAGAAAGAGAAACATAGAGCCAGACGGACAGACTGACTTTATGTGGCAACTTTGAAAAAGTAGAACCACTGATCTACGACCTACGATGGAGTATTAGGGCCAGACTGAGAAAAAAATAATAAGATTATCAGAATAGAGCTGTATTGTTAGGAGAATAAAGTCGAAACAACACAAATGTGGTAATAATATGAGAATAAAGTCGTAATAATGAGAATAGAGTTACGAAATTTCAAGAATAATCATAAAATTATGAGAATAAAGTTAAAATAATGCAAATGTAAAGCCGTGATAACGAGAAAAAAAGTCAATGCGAGAATAAAGTCATAATAACATTTCAAGAAATCGTATGAAAATAATGTCGAAATAATACAAGAAGTCATAAAAATGAGAAGTCGTAATATTTCAAGAATAGACCTTACTTTATTCTGGCAATATTGACTTTATTCTCTTTTATTAGCATGGTTCTAATATTCCATCATATCAACCATTTATCTGAATGGAATCCAAACACATAAAATGGATAAAAGCACAATATCAATATTTAAATAAAAAAAAAAAACACAAGTAGAAACTGTTTGCTTCCCTCAAGTTTCTGCAACCAGACAGATTTTTTTTCTTTAAGTCAAAATAGTCATGTGAAGACTGGCGGACAAACATCTAGAGTGGAAACCAGAGGAAAGCAGCTTTACCTCCAGCAGTTTTGCCTCTTCTGGCCTTTTTAGCTGCAGCTGGAAGTTTGCAAACCAAACCTCTCTTCTGAACCTGGCATGTTTTTCCTCTCAACTAACTCAGCAGCTGGTTGAGAGAAACCAACAAAGCTTTCCGTCTTTCAGGATTCGCTTCCACTCTCCTGCTGCTTCATATCCGTCAAATACACGCAAACACTTTACAGAAAACAGCACAAACGCTTGTATATCTGTGTTGCATTTTGTCTCAGAGAGGCACAGCAACAATAAAACTCAACTCCCATGACGACTTCCAGCGCTCTGCATGAAAACAGCCGCCCGCTTTCTCTCAGCAAAGCTTCACAAACAGCAGCCATCCCAAACTCTCTGAAGGAAGAGTTCACAACTCAGAAAACGTATATAGATCCACAGCTTTTACCAGCACAAAGACAATAACACTGAATTTTAGGTGTAAAGATGCAAAATTCACTGCATCTACACTATTAGGCAACAGTGATGACAAAACGACAGAAGACGATTAGGATAACTGAAAAAGAAAAACGTAATTTTGACTTTATTTCAGAAGATCTCTGAGAAAATGTCAGAATTCTGAAATTAATGTCAGAATTCTGAGACAAAATGTCAACATTTTGAGACAAATTGTCAAAACTCTGAAATTAATGTCAAAATTCTGAGACCAAATGTCAAAATTCTAAGAAAGATGTTTAAATTCTGATATTAAAGTCAGCATTCTTTTTTTTTGTAGTGGCCATAATCTTCTTCCATACAAACAGCTACAGCAGCTAAAGTACAGCTTGGTTTTCTCTGTTTCAGACGATGAAGAATCAAATCTCAAAATGAGAAGAATAAAGCAGTGAAAACCAATCAGAGTGACAGCACCACTCAAGAGCTCGGATGTTTGGTATGAAGGAATCGCAAAAGGAGGAGAAGAGGTTAATAAAGTTATCCTTACTTTGAGTAGTCTTCGTTGTCTCTGTCGCAGCGGGAGTCTTTGTGTTTCTCCCAGTCTTTGCCATGTTTGCATGTGGTCAGCAGGATAATATCTTCCCCATTGTGGATGTGATAGAGCGCGTTTCTCGTCTCTGAGCCAATGCCGGTCAGGTAGCGCTTCCCTTTAAAAACCAGCTGGTACTTCCTGGAGGGCGAGGCGTCGCTCAGTGCCAGATAACCGGCTGACCCTCCTTTCAGAGGGTGAACTTTGGAGAACAGCGGGATGGAGATGTCAAAGTTCGGCCTGAAGTTGGCCACGTCGGCGCTGGCCTTGGCCAGCATGGACTGGCCCACTTCGAATCCCAGATCCTCCGTGTAGTCCGGCCAAGTGCCGGAGTACAGGTTGAATATGAGGTGGTTCCGGCCGTCGTTCCAGGTCGGCAGGCTGTGGATGCGGGCCCTGACGTTCTGGACGTACTGAGCCGACAGCTGGTCCCTGTCCAGCGTGTCCACGGCCAGAACGAAGAGGCAGGCCCGGGAGGGGTCCGCCGTGTGGAACCGAGACTCTCGAATGGACGACAGGATCTTCTGGTAGGTCTCTGAGATCTCGTCGCCTCTCTGCGGGGGGTAGATGTAAACCCCGAAACCCGACTGGCAGCGTGAAAAGTCAAAACAGGTTTCCATGCGGCAGCGCTTGTTCTTGTAGATGTTGTCCCGGATCGCCCGTCGTTCATGGGGCGAGGTGTGCTGGTGGTGCAGCTGAGGGCTGTCCTCCTGCAAGGAAAACACAGTCTAGATCAAACTCAATTTATTATCCCAAAAGGACAAATACATTAAAAAATACTACAACAGTAGATCAGAACATCCATACAGCTCACAATACAATCACACTTTGCTTAAAGGGGTGAAAGGATGAAAATCATCAATGGTTTTATGAATACTGTACAGCTCTTTGGTGCAGTTAGTAGCTGATTTAAAGTGTTTATAGACTGACATGAACATGAAGGAGTCTTCATTAATGTTTGTGACTGTTGTCATAAAGTGTTATTTAGTAAATAAAGACACTTTTACTGCAAAGGTGACGCTTTTAAGCAACTTCTCATTAAAAGTGTCATTATTTGGACTTAAACTTATTTTATTGTCATTCCACAAAGACATGACAGTGAAATTGGCAACGAAATGTCAATTACTGACTGATGCAAAGTTGACATTATTAATACAACTTTTAAAGCAAATGTTAATGCAACTTTGGATTAAAATCTCATTGTGATTCCACCATGAGGATGTAGCGCAAACCTCCGACAAACAAACAATGTTATAATGACAGAGGTAGTGGAACTGAATGTGTTACACCAGACATTTTCTGAGTCATTTTTCTCTTATCAGCCGACACTGAGGCAAAAGCAAACAAATTCTCCAATGAGTTTTACATCAGATTTGCGGGAAACACCGGAGAGATAAAGGTCAAAACCCAAGCCTTTCTACGCCAGAGGAAGGATGAGGAGCACAAAGTCTCATTGGATGTGAGAGAGAAGCTGCGTCTGACGCATTTTTCACGTACAAAACAGGTGAGTTATGACTTAAATCACAGCAGCTTGTGAAAATGTCCTTGAGGAAAATGCCTAAAAATAAACATTAGCATAAAAAAGTGCTTAAATGTAAATACCATAGTTACTGGAGTCTGTTTTCATGCTGCCATAGAGCTAACATTGGAATATACTCAAGATAAATACCTTCACTTATTGATCTTTGATTTTACTATCAATAAGTGTCGTTATGAAAAAAAAACAGGATGCTTACTACCAAATACCTTGAACGTGTGGTAGTTGCCAGGTTCATGCCACCGGACATGACGTCAGCTGCAGGCTATGATCCGTTTCTTGCGATATTCCAGACTCAGTTTGGGTTTTGGAAATTTAAAAAATTGCTTTCCTCTCTCTGAACGTTCTGGATAACGGAAGTCGGGACTCTAGGTTACCCCACTGATTATGTTTGACCAGAATTTCCAACTATTTTCCTCCAAATCTCTGACCGCAGCGTGTTAGCAAAGCGGGTAATGCTAACGGAAGTTCAGTTCCTCCAGATAAGGGGCGTGTACTTCGGGACAAAACGCGACCGCTGATTGGTCAGTTGCCCCTCGAATGATTGGCAGGTGGAATGAATTTACTTATTGGAAACATGGCAATTTGGAAAAATACTCCGATATCTTATTTTTTTTTTAAGTCTTGGCGCTAGAATATGGCGTATTTATTTATTTATTTATTTATTTATTTATTTATTTATTGTTGTTTATTTCTCAAAACTGCAATAAAAACACTTTTTTGCGTCATAGGAGTCACATGACCAACAATGGCTGTTGTCACTGGTGCAAACCACGAAGAAGACGACAGGAAGTAGTTGGAGGATGACATTGCTGCATATTTTTAGTGACTTATCACGTAAACAAGTAAACAAACTATTCACGTGTGATTTTAATTGCGCTTCTTAAAAACCGCATTTCCGAACTTTTATTTATTTATTTTTCTTTTGTTTTTCAACATTAGCGGAATATTGACATTTGTAATGAAAATGCAGCTAATGTTTAGCAGGTTATTTTTAATCTGCCTCGTTTTAGTCTTTGATTTCCGATATTAGGGCCAAACCTCTCCCCCACCTCTTGCTCTCCTCCCTCCAGGTACGGGTCCAGCGGCTCGGTCAGCTCCGGCCAGCGTCGCGCCGGTCTGGACGGGAGTCTCTGGGGCAGCGGCCGCGGCTGGTAGACGTCTTTCCTCTGGTAGTAGTACTGGTAGTCCTGCTGGTGGTACTGGTGAATCTGGGGATAATGGTACGGCTGCTGCTGGAACTCCCCAATCTGCAGACCCCACAGGTAGATGAGGAAGAGTAGACCGGCCACCACAGACACAAGCAGGTACCGCTTCTTGGCCTGCATGTGTGCTGCGGGATGAAGGAGGAGGAGGAGGTCTCGGGTTGGGGGAGGGAGGGAGGAAGAGAGGGATGAACGGAGGAGTTACAGAGTTATGGAGGAGGAGGTGGTGAGTTGGGGGAAGAGGAAGGGAAAAGACAAAGATGAGTAACAAGGAAAAGTGATAAGAGGAGGGGAGGAACAGGGAGGCAGGTCTCTATCCGCAGCTCAGCATTTTGGGATTTTTGTTGGATACTGAAAGAAAAAGAAAAACTGAAACATTAATCAGGTTTTCAGTTACTAATTTACAAGTTAATGCAAAGAGACACACCTTCTTTTCATTTATGACTGAAAAACAATCAGCTGATCCAACTTGGTCACAAATAGTCAAGTTTATCCAAGTAAATTTACCCAGATAAACAAACTTCATTTGATGACATGGAAAAATTAATTTGTTTTTAAAAGCTGGAGCTCCATTCTTCACAGCAGATACAAAGGAACTTTGTGTAAAATTTCAAAACACATTAAATAATGCTTATTTTTCATATTGATGTAGAGAAATGGTGTAAAGGGAAAACCAAAGAGCAGAAATTAAACCAATGACAATAGTTTTAAAAAATTAATCAACATTCAAACAAATCTAGAGGCAAAAATAAATATAGAAACTGAGAAGAAATTAATGTAATAGATATAGAACAAAAAAATTAAAGAGACCCTTGGATCAGTTATTACGATAAAAATAATTAAAAAAAATGACATCCTATATTTTTGTTTATTTTTTAATCGTGTTTAAATATTTCTATATATGTTTATAGGTTTATTTCTTATTTAGTTACTTAATTTTTTATTTTTATTTTGACCATGTTAGTGTGAGCTTAAATATATATATTAGTGTGGTTAACCTTAATCCCGCCAATTAAGAGTGTAAGCTTCATACTTGTGTTACTTTTGCAACAGTTTCTATGGAGATGAAGGTGAACTTACCTGGTTAAGTGAAACTGTTGTGGTTACGGGATGGATCTGGGTGTGCGCTGCTCTCCCCTCCAGCCTGAGCAGGGCTCCACAGTTTGGGAACATCCTCCATTAACAAACTGGATTACAGATCCATGCACGCGCCGTCTGAGCCTTAAGAAACCCACGTGCGGCAGCGCATCACTGCGCAAAGTGTGCGCCAAGAAACCAAATCCGGAGAGCCGCCTCCATCCTCCACCACAAACTTTTCCCGACCGAAACGAGCCGCTGAGCGCCGCTCATGCGTCCCCCGCCTGCAGGCGCAGCTCGGTCTGAAAGCAGCATCCATCCAGAATTAATTCACCTCCAATCAGCGTCTCTCCCATCCCCTCCTCCCAGGAAAAACACCAGTAAACTTTGGATGGGCGCTCCTCCACCTGTGCGCTGCGCTCACATCGAGAATTACGCAGAAATCACCGCGTCAGGTGAGTTAAGAAACGCAATCAGCGGTAAAATCCTGCTGCAGGCGCGACTGAACGGCGGCGATAAATCAGATAAACACCTGCAGTGTTTACCCGGGTTCTTCCGGGCTGCTCCCTGTCGAGCAGCAGGTTCCGGCGTTCCTTCACGTTTCCATGCTGAGATCCAGAGCTGGACGTGCTGCAGCATCAGCAGCAGCAGCGCAGATAAGCCAGGCGGCAGCAGCTGCTGCAGCATCAGGCTGCATGCGGGGACCGGAGCGGATCGGAGCGCAGCATGCACGTCCCGTCTGGTGGCTCTGATAAGGTATGGGAGCTCACCATTCACCACACCGGCTCCGTCCGCTCAGGTTCAACAGGAAGTCCGAGTTTAATACTAGAGATAAATAACACAACAATCAGAAACACGTTTTTTTTCCCCTTATTGCTTCAATTATCTGAATTATTATTATTTTTTGCTTCTAAATTAGCTGTAACACAAAACAAATTTATCTAATTTTCTTAATTTTGTACGTTTTTCTATTTTAATATCTTTGATATGGATTTTAGAAAATCAATTTTTCTGACGTGTTCACGTCAATTAGGCAGCAGCAAAGTTTGTGTAATCAGATTTAGTCGAAATTTAACTCTTACTGAATCTTTCTGCTGAAAATGTTTTACAGTTTGTTTGGTTTTCATTTGGTTTCAAATTTCAGTTGTTAAATCCAACATTATCTGAAACATCTGAATATATTCAATTAATTTCAGGGAAGGTTCACGATGTCAAATCATGATCCGACTGTTGTTGTATCAAACAGCGCCATCTTGTGGCAACAGTTCTGTTTTCTTTTATGAGTCTGAAGAAGATCCTCTTTTCAGAATTAAAACTTTAAAGATTTAATGTTAAAATTTTCAGAAATACGTCTCAAAGAGGTCATGAATTTATGAAAAACTTTTACAAGTTCACATCTTTCTCTCTCATAAAAACTTACTTTTCTTTCCATTCTTATGACTTTATATCTAAAATGTCTTCATAAAGACTTTATTGTTTTCACAAACTAACAAAGATGATTTTGACTTTCTGGGCTGTGAACCCAAAATGTTTCTGTTTTGATTCCTTTTCCTCTGATTTATCACTTTTACCTTGTAAAACTTTAATCTGCCATCCTGAAGAAATTGCTGCTCATCAGCGATTTGCTCCGATTGCTTAGAAAAGTTGTTCCTGTGGGATGTTATTATCCCATTCTTTATTTATGGCTGTGATTTTAGGGGAAACTTTCAGAGGGAAACCTGCTTCACCGTCTCTAAACTGCATTTTATTATCATTTTTGTCCCAAACAATCTAACTGAAAACTAATTTGAGGAAATAACTTCTTAATATTTAGGTATTTCCTACACTGTAAAACATTTGAGCCACATTTAGTTGTGTTAACTTTTTATTAGTTTTGTCAAACCTCCAAGAGTTTCTAGTTTAGCACTGAAAAAACTGAAAGAGGAAAAAGACAGGAGTGAAAATTATTTCCCAGAATGCTTAGCGGCATGTTTCTGTATCCTGAGATGGAAGTGCGTTACATTGATCTGAAGTTCTGTTCACACTAAATGTTTCTGAGCTGAATTTAATAAAATTACTATCAGATCAGACATTTTGTTCATGTAATTTGAAAGAAGAATTTAAATGATTCTAAAGTAAAATAAGTTTTTATTTTAACTTGATATTGTGAGTGAAATAATAGAGAAATTTGGCTCTTTAACTAGATGAGGGCAGATTTTTTTCTTGCATATTGTAAAGTAATTATTTGGTTTAAATTGCAGCATTAAGTTAAAACTCACAATTCAAGATTAATGAACTTAAACAACGTTTAGACAACTTGTCTCTTGTTGTTAAATTGACTTAATGAACTTTAATTTCTGAGTTAAAACCAAAACAATTTTCTTGACGACTTAAATTTAATTTTCCAGTTAAAACACCATCAAATGTTTTATAGTATATTGAATTTAATGTTTCTCTTGCAGAAAATGTTCCGTTTTTTTGCAGCACGTTTGGACACCAAGCTGACATTTAAAACCATCTGCATGAATATGCATGAAGGCAAAGTCATGCGTGGATTATAAAGTTAATTTTCATTACTGCATTTAATGTGTTCTCTACATATTCAATGCAAATTACCCCCATTAAAGCTAAACAGAGTTATGTTAGGGAGCTAAACCCAGCGGTGAACGTACTGTAAGAGAAACGAAGCATCTGTGATGTTGGTTGCTTATTTCTGCAACTTCTGCAAAAACAACAAAAAAAAACTTTTGAGTTCTGAACCACATTAAAGGATCAACCTGCCAATCTCTAGAAATGCTTCTTCAGTGCAGTTTTCTCGCTCCTTCTCACAGATAAAGATGCTTGTCAAATATTTTTGAAGTGCCTTGAGCAATCTGCACGCAGCACATCAATATTAATCATCTCTGAACAAAGTGATGACAAAGACGCTCATGCAAAACATAAAGCAGAGCACTTCTAGTTTTACAGCTTCTCTCTATTTTTAACCAAAATTTCAGTATTCAAGGTTTTAAAAAAGTAATGGAAGTGCCTTTCTTTTTAACCCATTCTGCTTCACGTCAGTGGGTAAGAGTGGAGGTACTCGACTAACTCAGAGAGACAGGAAGTCCAGCTCCTTGTCATTCACGTTGAGGGTTAATTTAGCATCTCTAATTAACTCAAGCCGCATGCCAGGCTCAGTGAGAAAACCTGACAAGAAGAGCAGAGAAACGATCCGACGTTTACACACACAGCCTCCAAAAGCCAACAAAAATCAAGCCTGCAGAAATTAGCATCTGATATTAATTAAATTTGCTGTTTTGTCTGTTTGCTATGAACTCTGAAACTTTTCTTTCTCATTCTCAAAATCCTCAACTGTTGACAAAAATAACCTCTCAGGAAAATATGTGAATAATGTGAATAGCACTTTTATAAATCGCTGAAACACTTTTTTTTCTGTCATTGAGTGCACTTTGGTGTGACAGCAGATGACAGCTGCAAAACAAAAAGCTAAAATTACAAACACATGATTTAGACGACACACGTTTTATCCTGATCCCTTAAGTTAAGCTAGCTGTGAACATTTTATTTTATTTCTTTATTTTTTACGTCTTGTTGCATTACAGCCACAAACCTCCACATGTTTTACTGGAATTTTATGCCTGGTTTGCATTTTTATTCACTTGATTTTATTTAGTGGTATTCTGACATCACTTATTAACTTTGAAAGCCCCCAACTCAGTTTAAATATTCAACATGCGCTTAATTTAATCTCAGTTTATGTCCAGCTGTTCTCTGAAGTTTTGTTCAAAACATTAGTGAATAAAATGTATCATGGAAACCAGTTAACTGAATCAGGACATAAATCAATGTCACAAATGGTGCTGAAATTATTAACCACAATTAAATCGATTATTAAAATCGTCAGCTGATTTTCTAATCGATTAAACGTTAAATGGAGTTTACAGATTCAAAAAAAGGACAAATTACTGAAAGAATAACATTCTCAGAGCAGTAAAACGGACAAAACTGTTCAAAAAGTATATCAATTTTACATTTAAGATAAAAAAGACATATTTTCTGTACCCAGAACTCCTCAAGTGGCAGTTTGAGCTTCTCCTGGCTCAAATTTAAAAAATAAATTAAGCACTTTTTTCTATCCAATTATTAATCAATTAATCTGGAAAATAATCAACAACAGTCCTAAACTGTATGTTTTTAGCTGCAGATGCTACAAATGATCAAATGTTCACCAAAGGAATTCTGTTCTTGCAATAAAGTGTTTATTTTTTTATTTGGAATTTGAATTGTTTGCATCTTTTAATAAATTTCTAATATTGTGCAAAAATGTTGGAATAAAAAATATCAATCATCTTAAAATGGAAAAAGTTTTGCACAACTGCAAACCTCCATGAAGATGCTCAACTTAAACTGACAGGGAATCAGAGAAATCTGCCTGAAACAAACAGAAATGAAGGCCATTGTTGATAAAAAATACTTTTTATGAGTCTCATCTGCAGAACTTGGACTTTATGCAAAGTTTTATGTGCTTTACAAAATCGTTAATATCGCCTCACCTGGGAAAACATGGTGGTGGTCGTGGCATGCTGTGGGAATGTTTTTATTAAAGCAGCCACAAAAAGACAAAAAAAGATGGCGACTCCCGTTCAATGAACAATAAACCAAAACTCAGTCAGAGGAATATATAAGTTATCTGGTCTTATGGGTGGCCTAGTCAAATCCCAAATTTTAATTAAACAGAAAATCAGAATATAAATGTTTTGCAGAGTTTTTTTTTTAAATTCATAAAAAAGTAAACAAACCTCTGAGATCATCACAGAATAGCTGGATTCTGGTTACTGAAAGATTTTATTTAGAGGCATCAGAGTAAAATTTTCCTTTTACTTCACAATTACTTCAAATCCAAATGAAATACGTTGAAGTTTGCAGTTTTAACATGACAGAATATGAAAATACAGAGCTGCTGTTTCATTTTTATTCTGTGTATTTCACCACACAGTGACTGAATTTAGTTTGATTCTGATCTTTACTTGGTTTCTTTTTAAACTTGTGGCCTTGATTCTCTTCAGCCGCTGCACTTTTCTGTGTTTCTCTTGTTCTGCTGCCAGAGCCGGACCATCCGCAGGAACTGGGAGAGGAATAAATCCTGGGTCTCACACAGTCGGGGGGACAGGAAACCAATAAAGGTTTGGATTTATCCGAGCTCTTGAAAAAACAATGCCTCAGAAGGCGCCTCATCTCAAATCAGCAGCAGAGCGGTCCTGTAAATCTTTCAATGTTTAATCTAAAACTGTGGCAGATATAAAAACTAGCAGCCTCTCTGAAGAGAGCAGCTTTTTCTCCCTCTCTCTCTAATTTACTGGAGCTGTGATAACTCTGAAAGATTCGCTGCTGTCGATGGGTTCACGCTCCATTAGGGGTTGATAAATCTGAGAGGGTCGTGTTGGTGTTAACGGAGCGGCACAGAGAGCCAACTTTGATCTGTTTCCAGTCTCACTTCATCGCTTCACTCCCTCCACTTCTTCATCTTTGCTATTAATCCTGGAAACCTCGGCCGGAGTGTAGAAGTCTCTTTCTTGTGCTGCGCCAGCATCACGTATGGGAAGAAAGTGATGCAGATTTTTCTAGATAACGCGACGGCCGTGATTTTAATGAATCTGATTCCTGCTGTGGAACTTTAAAGAAGTTTAGGAAACAAGTCCAAGAAATTCATCTGTTTTCTGTTAATTGTTTAAACTTG